GGGGAGTAGTGGTAGCGGCTCCAAAAGCAGTTCAAAAACAAGAAATTGCAAGTAGATAAATAGGTACCGCTTCGGTGGGAAGGTAACAGTGCTCTGTATGCCTTGGCGTCTAGTCATGCCGGCCACATGACCACGGAAATGTCTCCGGACAGCGCTGGCTCTTCAGCTTGGAAACAGAGATGAGCACCGCCCCCTAGTGTCGGATTCGACTGGCTTTCAAGCAAGGGAAACCTTTACCTTTATGGCTATATGGCTGTTCAGTATATCTAAGAACCATGAATGAGCCATGCATGTGTCCAAAAATCCATACAATGGGGCCAGGGGGGATAGGAGATGAGTTTCTGAAGAACGTTGGGTTTACAGAATAACATGAAATGTCTATGAAAACATTAAAGAAAAAGGGGGTTTAAAAACTTCAAAAACAGTAACAGTGATGTCTGAATAACTGTAAATGTAACAAAGAAGTTTTAGAGGGTAGCCATATTATTCCGCAGTAGAAGAGCTGGGTTCGAGTCCAGTATCACCTTAGAGAACAACAAGATCTTCGATGTGGTCTCCGTGTTTCACACCCATGGGATTCAGTGCGCACGCGCTGGATCGATCGGTGCTGTAGCAAGCTCTTTTCTAACGGATTTTCGCGCCCAGTCCCTCCAGGCATGTGCAGGAACCCCACCGCGCATTGTGCTCACTTCAGTTTCATTTTATCACATTTTATCGCAAATGTTCTTATGTCCTCTGTTTCGGTTCATGTTTCATCTATATACTAATAGCCAAGTGTCTCCAGTGCATGCGGATACTTATTTCCGCAAACTGGGGGTACATGGAGGCTCAACAGAATTCCCTGCACACTTGAGGCATTACTTAGGTGTGCAGAAAAATCTGACATGTTTAAAAAATATATACGGGTAGCTGCAGTTGACGAAGTTCTCCGGAACAGCGTTTCTTTCGTGAGGACTTCCTCTGAACAGGACCACAATAACAATTGTGTCTTCTATTGTTGTGTGTTCATCATTGTATGCACTGACATTAATAGCAATAGCTTCACAGAAGTCATATCCTTAACGCTTGAGTTTAAACATAGTTTGTTCAAAGCGGGCAGGCGAGACAAAAGCACACCCAAACTAACCAACCGTGATCAGATTACTAAACTCCAAACTCACAAATACATAAATATAATGTAACATGAAAATGCCAGTGTGCAAGAATTCTAAATACACAATCAAAGCTAATCACACTCTTTACAAAAATTCATCCAAATACAAAAACTGGTTCATTCGTACCCCATGCTTTCCCAACAATATGGGGACGCCAGCCAAAATTACAAACCAACTGTATGACGTGAGCCAATGAAAACAACCAACAGTCTGTATAACGCAGTCCTCGCTGGTGTGATTCCAACTGAAGTTCGGTAGATGGACATGCAGTTCCCACCATATCCAAGTTACTGTCCGTCTCTTAAGCCTCGGCTCTGTCTCCATTGGTATGACACAGAAGAACCCTGTCTCCATGTCCCCTCGACATCTGAGCCCTCATTATGATTTTCCGCTGTTGGCAATATGCAGTATTTAGTGGTAGCTCCTGTTTACGTGCAAAATAAAGAATGTGGTTTTCTTCTCTGGTTTTAAGCGGGATTGTACCGCTCTGTACAGGCTCACAGGAACCAGACTCGGAGGGAGGGGATCTCCTTGCCGCAGGACCCCGGAGCGCTGTATGACTTCAACTTGGACGAGGAGCTGGAAATCGACCTGGATGACGAGGCCATGGAGGCCATGTTTGGGCAAGACCTGGCCAGCGAGAACGACATTCTGGGAATGTGGATCCCAGAGGTATTGGACTGGCCGACCTGGGTGTGTGTGCACGCAGCTGGGGCTGCTTTGCTTACTTACGTCACGATTCCTAGACCGATTTTTCGTTGTCTAAATAACCCTGTGTGTTAAATGTGTTGTCGAAGGCTTTCACGACCGGAGTTCATTAGTTGCTGTAGATTTTCCAGGTTGTGTGGCCGTGGTCTTGGCATTGCAGGACCTGACGTTTCGCCAGCAGCTGTGACTGGCACCCTCAGAGGTATCACACAGAAAGATGGAGCACTCTCTGTGTCAAGGTAACGCTGTGCGTTATCCCAAGCCAGTCTGTTTTTAAATCTGTTTTTATTTGTTTTTAAATCATCATTGACCACGATGTACATCAAAAGCATTAAGCAAGCAACAACCAGAGATAAGGATCAAGTCGCGTCAAAAGCCTATTATGCAACAGTAAAAACTATTTTAACTGTTTGAACATTTATCAACCAGTAAGGAAGGGTAAGAAGTGCTGGTAATGATGCTACCTCTGTCAGTAAGGCCCATGAGAGGACTGGATTAGATCTGGATCTTAGATGTAGAAGATTTTTGTATGTGTACAGTAGAGAGCTAGAAGAAAAGCCAAGAGGAGTAAGTAGCCAATCCTCATTAACCTTGTCGTTACTCAGGGCTATTTTTGGGCAGGAATGCACAGGAACGGAGTTCCGGCTGGCTCCCGAGTTGGCCACGCCCAGCAGGAACTCATTAGCATAATAGGCCACACCCAACAGCAGAAACTCATTAGGATTGGCTACATTAGGGGTGTGTGGCCTAACATGCAAAGGAGTTCCTGCTACAAAAAAAGCCCTGGGTTTTGACAACAAACAAGGTAAACAGAATAAGAAGGGAAAGGTGGGTGTGGCTGGATGAGTACACTTCTGGTAACACAGGGGTGTGGCCTAATATGCTAATGAGCTGTGCTGTCAGGGGTGTGGCCTAATATGCTAATATGTTTCTGCTGTTGGGTGTGGCCAATTATGCTAATGAGTTCCTGCTGGGGTTTTTCTACCAAAAAAAGCCCTGTCGTTACTAATACTTACTTGGAAGTTTTCGGGCTCAAGTTTAACGGTTCGAGCAGATAGCTTTTTGCCGCTTTTGTCTCTGTGCCCGTGAGCGAAATTTGCTTTTTCTCAAGGAAAGAAATGATTGTGGCGTCTTCTGTTTTGGAAGAGGAGTAAGCAACCCAAATATTTGATCTGTTTTTAAATGAGAGAGCATGCTAGTGACTAGCTGTCCCCTCTGCTTTTAATCAAAGCACTTGTTCGTTCTAAGACTGACTGTCTTTCTTATCCCTCTTGGTTGTTACTGAAAGGTCATATTTTCCTCTGACAGTTTTGAGCCTTCTACTTCTTGCTGCGTTCATGTTTGCTCGATATGAGTATCTTTGGGGTTCATGCTCATCTTGCATGATTGAACCATCAGTGCTACTGGGCAGTTAGTCATAGTTCACAGTTGTTTTGAGGGGGGAGGGAATCAAAACTCTCTTGCGACAGGGCCTGCAAATTTTTCGGAGGATCTTCCACAGGAAATTGCATTCTATCATTACTTTCTTGGTCCATCTGTCCCCCTTAAAGATGGTATTTCATTGAAGAGGTGCAAACCTTTTCCGGCGTTTGCCTCGGCAGAGGTTTTGTGCTGGACATTTTGTACCACCATCAAAGCCTTTTTCCTAAGTGCTGATTTTGTCCCCGTTCATCATAGATCTGCTTGATTATTTTTTTCTCTGGTAGTTCTCCCCAGCTCTTGCAAGATACGCTGTCGAAGGCTTTCACGGCTGGAGTTCATTAATTGTTGTAGATTTTCCGGGCTGTATGGCCGTGGTCTTGGCATTGTAGGACCTGACGTTTCGCCAGCAGCGGTGACTGGCATCCTCAGAGGTATAACACAGAAAGATGGAGGACTCTCTGTGTCAAGGACTTTGACACATCTTGACACAGAGACTACTCCATCTTTCTGTGTGATACCTCTGAGGATGCCGGTCACAGCTGCTGGCGAAACGTCAGGTCCTACAATGCCAAGACCACAGCCACACAACCTGGAAAATCTACAACAACTAATCTTGCAAGATACCTCGCCCCATTCTCCTCCGCCAGCCCCCATCACATTAGAAACAAAACAGAAAGGCCTCTGTCTCCCATTCCGGTGGAAGCAAGTATGGACGGGAAATGCTGTGAAGGGAAGCAATGAAAGCTGAAATACCACAGAAAAGCTGTGGTTTATAGCGCCATGACCAATGTTCCCTCTAAGCTGTGGAGTCTTGTGAGCAAAAAATCTACTTTGTGAGCTACCGGCATTAAAGTTGTGAGCGAGCGATTTGGCTGCTGCATACATTAGTCTGCTCTGGAGCCATCTTTCCTGAGTGAAGACAAAAATGTGTGAGCCGGAGGCTAAAAAACTGTGAGCCGGCTCACACTAACTCAGCATGCCATCATCGAAGATCTCGGAGATTAAATTAAGCAGGTGCAGAAAAACATTCCCAACTTTCATACTTTGGGAAGTTTATTCATTTATTAAATTTGTTAATCGCCCAATCTCTTCAATGCAGGGCTCTGGGCGATGTACACCATTCATAAAAACATCAAGATAAAACAAAACATTAATAATGTACATGAGAACATAAGAGAAGCTAATGTTGGGTCAGGCCAATGGCCCCTCCAGTCCAACACTCTGTGTCACACAGTGGCCAAAAATACCAGGTGCCATCAGGAGGTCCACCAGCGGAGCCAGGACACTAGAAGCCCTCCCACTGTTGCCCCCCCCCCCCAAGCACCAAGAATACAGAGCATCACCTGCCCCAGACTGAGAGTTCCTATCTGTACCTTGTGGCTAAGAGCCACTGGTGGACCTCTACTCCATATGTTGATCCAATTCCCTCTTGAAGCTGTCCATGCTTGTAGCCGCCGCCACGTCCTGTATTTCAAACAAGAAGATGGCGTATAGAATTTTATTGTATTTTAGAATTTTATTGTATTTTAACCTCTGTAAGCTGCCTTGAGCCAGTCTGCACTGGCAAGGCGGGATACAAATTGAAAATAAATAAATAAATAATTGGGCCCATTTCAGACTGCTGGCCACTTCGGAGGCAGGGGAGAGGAGGGCAAAACAGATATGAAAAGCAGCCAGAGTTTTGATTTTGTAGCCAAAGAATTTGGCTCTTGTGGATCTCAGATCACAGGAACAGAATTCAAGAAAGGGTAAATATGTGTAGATTGGTAATGAGCGGGAGGTTTATATATTTTGGTAGATCTGGCACAGAGTTAACCTTGCTCACCTTTGGATGCCCTCCCTGCGTAGGCGTGTGGTTGTCCTGTCTTAATACTGAGCTATCACTAACCACTGTGGACAGCTGTGGATTTGAAAACAAAACCCGGGATGTGAGATTCTTCACGTGCACGAAAATAACCCAGTGATTATGTCGCGCAGCATGTATGTGAGTCGGAAGACCGGGAAGAAGTCGTCGTGTGCGAGCTGTGCGAGTCCAGCGTCGTCAGCTTCAACCAGCACATGAAAAGGAACCACCCGGGCTGCGGGCGCAGCGCAAACCGGCAGGGGTACCGCAGCAATGGCTCTTATGTGGACGGATGGTTCGGGGGCGAATGCGGAAGCGGGAATCCCTACTACCTCTTGTGCGGCAGCTGCCGGGAGAAGTATTTGGCCCTGAAGAGCAAGTCCAAGACCTCGGCCTCAGAAAGGTACCCAAGGCAGCGTGGCCCGTGGGCCGTCCTTCTTGAAAACAGACATATTTTTTTAAAAAAAATTTTTTTGAAGTTTTATTGAGGAAATTCCATTAAAAATACATTCAGAACATTAATACATGGACTAACAATTATGCTACAATTGGAGCAATCTAAAAATATAAACATAACAGTTGGAGAGAACATAATTATAGGTTCAATCAGATTGAACATGGAAGAAATTATAAAAGCACATAACCTGTCAGCCAAAACGTTAAGTACTCGATGCAATATAACATTTTGGCGTTGCACCTCAGGACTATAAGAGATCAATGTATGTAGACAATAGGGAAATAATCATTTTTCCATTTAGCAGTGTTTTGAGATGAATAGCCCCAAAGGTGTTTCGTTAATGGGAGCCATTTTTCACTTAAGTCAACCCTTATTAGATCTGGATACACTATCTGTTACCTTGTCTAAAATACACTATTCCCATAGTTTAGCATGCCAGTGGTCAATAGTAGGGGAAACATTCCTTTTCCGATGTTGGGCAATAAGGCGTTTAGCTACAGCTAGCATTATCAAAATAAGCTCTTTGCGAGCTGGAAACAGACATTTGAGGCTCCTTCCGTTTGAGGGGGGAAGGCAGGAAGCTTGGACTTCAGAAGGCAGAGTGTGTCACGTGGCCTAGGGTTTGGGTGGGAGACAGGTTGAAATCTCTGATCGGCTCCATTTGGAGCTTTGGACAAGTTGGGGGTCTTTATTGTAACCCACTGAATTGCCAGGAATATAATATGAGATACCCGCGTCTGAACCCACCTGGGCCCTTTGGAAGGGCCGTGCCTCCGAGAACTGAGCAGACGCCTCGCATGCAGAAGGCCTGCCCCTGGCACCTCTGGCTGAAAGGGTCTCCTAACCCTGGAGAGCAGCAACCCTTCTTGCTTCCAATTTAGACTGCTTAATACAGTTTGAGTCCAGAGGCACCTTTAAGGTATCTGAAGAAGCGTACACGAAAGTGCCCCTGGCCTCAAACTTGGTTCTCTCTGAAGAAGTGTGCCTGCACATGAAAGCTTCTACCAAGAATAAAACTTGGTTGGCCTTAAAGGTGCCGCTGGACTTGAACTTTGTTCTGCTGCTTCAGACCCACACGGCGACCCCACCTGATTTCTAATTGCTTAATATTTATCTAGGAGTTTGAGACATTTAATTGTGTGGAATAAACTCACGGTGGTCCTTTCTCCCCAGGTACAAAGGGCAGGCACCGGACCTGATTGGGAAGCAAGACAGCGTCTACGAAGGTACTTCCTGCTTTGTTTTGGTCTTGGTGGTGACGTCCTTGGCTGGTTCTGGTTTCCTGTGAAAATGCCGTTCCCTAACCCCAGTCTCCTTATCGGAGGGTAGAAGACTGGGACATGCTGGATGTTGACGAGGACGAAAAACTGACCGGCGAGGAGGAATTCGAACTCTTGGCTGGACCCCTCGGGTTAAATGATCGCCGCATCGTGCCCGAGCCCGTTCAGTTTCCAGACAGCGATCCGCTGGGCGCCTCCGTCGCCATGGTCACAGCCACGAACAGCATGGAGGAAACCTTGATGCAAATCGGTAAACTTTGAAAAGCAGTCGTCCAGAGCCTTGCACCCTCCGCACGCTTGCTTTGTAGCCGTGGCCACATAATTGACTTGATTCGTTAATAGATGTGGAAGAAGAATTGTTTGCCTGTTGTGGGATGGGTGTATGCAGTGTTCCCTCTAAGCTGATTTAGTGAGAGCTAGCTCACGGTTTTTTAGCCTCCGGCTCACACACTTTTTGTTTCGGGAACGAGGGCTTTGGAGCAAATTGATTTATGCAGTAGCCAAACTACTTGCTCACAACTTTAATGCCAGTAGCTCACAGAGTAGAATTTTTGCTCACAAGACTCCACGGCTTAGAGGGAGCATTGTGTGTGTGTGTGTGTGCTGCATCCACAAAAGCTAGAGAGGCAGCCGACGTTTCCTTCCTTCCCTTTTTGGCGAGGGAATGTGGGATTCCGTGGGTGGAGCCAGAAGTGAAACCGAACACCGTTTTTGTGGTAGGTAAGGTGACGTGGAGAATATCTCCAAGCTATAGAAATGCCGCCTGGCCCCCACCCTAAATGATCACATTCGATATTTTTTGTAAAAGCCAAGCCTTTTTACTTGTAGGCAGCCGTATGGGCACCCCACGCCTACTCTTGCCTTCCCAGCTTTCTGTCCAGTGAATGCGAAGGTACCAAGCGGAAGATGCTTAACTCTGATACACATAAGTGTTGTTCCTGCGTAATACAGTCAAATGGCTCAGTGGGGCACCTGTTTTGCATGGCCTCCTTTCCCTGGGGAAGTCGCCGCCCCCGCATCACCCCAGCATTTCTCGGTATGAGCCAGGGGCCGTTTGTGGGGAAATAGCTGGCCCAGAGAATTCAGCGTCAAGGCAAGAATTGCTGGTGTCCGGGGAGTGAGCTTTTGAGCCAGCCCTCCAGGTGAGGAAGAGCCCTTCAGGATCCAAACAAAGGTCCACGGAGCCCGGCAGCTCATGATTCTGCCGTCGTGTCCCTCCCGTGGCATGCTGGAGCCAGTTTGGTGTAGTGGTTAAGTGTGCGGACTCTATTCTGGGAGAACCGGGTTTGATTCCCCACTCCTCCACTTGCAGCTGCCGGATGACCTTTGGCAAGCCATAGTTCTGCCAGAGCTGTCCTTGAAAAAGGGCAGTTTCTGTCAGAGTTCTCTCAGGCCCACCCGCCTCACAGGGTGTCTGTGGTGGGGAGTTTTTTTTAGGGTTGTAAGCTGCTCGGAGACTCCTTCAGGTAGTGAAGGGTGGGGTATGAATCCAGTCTCTTCTCTCTTCTTCTCTTCTGTCAGTTGAGGTGCCGGGATAGATAGTGAGGGATGGGGAGGGGGCGTTCCTCACCGGGGCCTGCACGTGGAGCTCTCCGGGGCGAGGGCTCTCCTCCCCATTCCGTGGGCCTCACCCAAGCTCCCCTTCCTCTCTCCACCCCCTCCTTCCCGGCTCGCAGGCTGCCATGGTTCCATCGAGAAGAGCTCCGCAGGCAGAATCACCCTGGGGGAGCAGGCCGCGGCCCTGGGCAACCCGCACGATCGCATCATGGCCCTGCGGAGGGTGACGGCTGCGGCGCAGGTCCTCCTGGCCCGGACGATGGTGATGCGGGCCTTGTCCTTGCTGTCGGTCAGGTTCGTTGAGCTGCGCTTCGGTCGGAGGCCCCAGGACCGTGCCTGGGAACTGTTCCAGTCCCGATTGGGCTCGGCATGCTTTGGTAGGGGTGGCGGCCAGGTTTTGAATGGAGTAAAAGACTGAGCTCGTAAACGCTTAGGGTTCAATCCACGGGTCATCTTCCACCAGAGGAATGGAGGGCAGGGGCAGTTTTCACTCATTCTTCTCTCTCACTGCAAATTTGTGCTTTGCCCCCATGAGAGCCGGTTTGGTACAGTGGTTAAGAGCATGGACTCTAATCCGGGAGATCCGGGTTTGATTCCCCACTCCTCCACTTGCAGCTGCTGGATGACCATGGGCAAGGCATAGTTCTGACAAGAGCTGTCCTTGAAAGGGTAGTTCTGGAAAGAGCTCTCTCAGCCCCACCTACTTCACAGGGTGTCTGTGGTGAGGAGGGGAATCATAGAATGTCAGAGCTGGAAGGGACCTTGTAGGTCATCCAGTCCAACCCCCTGCACTCTGCAGGAGCAGAGCCAAAAGAGAGCCCTACAACATACCCGAAAGATGGCCGTCCAGCCTCCGCTTGAAAACGTCCAGCGAAGGAGCCTCCACACACCACCCCCCCCGCGGCTGTCTGTCCCACTGCTCAACCACTCTTGCAGTTAGGCAGTTTCTCCTCATATTTAGCCGGTATCGACTCCCTTGTGATTTCCCCCCATTAGAGCTAGTCTTGCCATCCGGAGCGAGAGAGAAGAGATCTGCTGCATTCCTTCAGAACAGATCTGAAGGGAGAGGAGTTTGTGAGCCGCTCTGAGACTCCTTCGGGTAGTGAAGGGCCACGGGGTATGACTCCAGTCTCTCCTTCTTCTTCCTCTCCCTCCCCCGGACAGCGGTTCCAGTTGCAGCCTTGCCGCCGGCCTGGAGTCCCTGGGCCTCACCGACATCCGGACCCTGGTGCGCTTGATGTGCCTGGCCGCGGCCGGGAGGGCGGGCCTCTCCACCAGCTCCTGCGTGGCGTCCGCCTCCTCGGAGAGGTCTCGCGGAGTGCATAGCAAGATGAGCAAGCCCATTTCCTGCCTGGCCTACCTCAGCACGGCCGTGGGGTGCCTGGCTTCCAACACCCCGAGCGCCGCCAAGCTGCTGGTCCAGCTGTGTACCCAGGTAAGGTCGTCTCCTCCTCCCTTTCCTGGGTTTGTATTTTCTGCAAGTGCAACTTTTGTTCTTTCTCAATATCATGGGAAATCGTGGTCACTCGTGTTAGAGAGGGAAGTCTGAAATCTGGCCTGGGCGCAGACATCCGTGGGAACCAGGCTTTAGTGACTGGGACCAGGCCGGGGTGGGGGGCGTTACCGATCCCAGTGGGAAAGCACGCCCCGGAGCTCTGCACAAGGTAGAAAGTATAAAGCTCTCTCCACCCGGGGGGCTCAGCAGAGGTTTCCTGGCATCATTCAGCCAGGAAGCCGCTGTTGGCGATGCGCGTGCCCTCGTGCGATGGGACTGTGCAAGCAGTGCAGCTGGATCTGAGGGACGGATCCGAGAGCAAGTAAGCAGGCGAGGGCAGAAGTCCCATTACTCGCTGCTGCTTTTCCTTGCCTGGCTCCTTTCTCACTTACAGTAATTTAAGGAAACAGATGAATTAGTAGGAGTCGTATACGACTTAACATCACATAAAGCTCCAAATTGTTTAGATTCATAAATTGTTCGTTATTCAACATGCTTCTTGTTATTAAACATACTGTTGGTTATTTAATACATGCATAAAATGCAAATGACATGTAGACGGACTGGGGATTTGGAGAAAACTCTGAATAATGTTTCAGGTTCAAGTTTCAAAAGTATATCATTGTATAAAGGATTTGGTGGAATTACATCAGATTCAACCATATAGTTAATGAGTGAATACCAGGATGCTATAAATTTTTCTTCAGATTTGCCGGAGGAAAGATTGAGTGTGCTAAGTGATATTTTGGACATAATGAAGTGGTCCCAAATACGATTTTGCCAGGATTGGATTCTTGTATTTGATTGAAAAGTTAGCATACTTGCGTGTGCGTTTGCATGTGGGGGGTGGGGTGGCGGGACAACTGGTGCTGTTGATTATCTACAGCATTCGCTCCGTTCCTCCTTGTCTGTAGAACCTGATTTCAGCAGCGACAGGTGTTAACTTGACCACGGTGGACGACCCGATGCAGCGGAAATTCCTGCCCAGCTTCCTGCGAGGGATAGCAGAAGAGAACAAGCTTGTGACGTCTCCCAACTTTGTGGTGACCCAAGCCCTCGTGGCCTTGTTGGCAGACAAAGGGGCCAGGCTGCGGCCCCATTACGACAAAGCGGAAGTGGAAAAGAAAGGTATTTGTTCTGAGCACGGAGGCTGTTTCAGCGCCAGAACCGCCAGCGGGATTTCCCCTGGTTTCTCACCAGGTTCCTTCGATTTAGAAGTCCAGGCTGAGAACATTTCGCCAGAGGCGTTTCAGCTCCATTGAAGGCGGGGGGGAGGCTTGGATGTGGGCTTCCTTGGGTCGGAGTTTTGTGTGCGGACAATCATAATAGACGTTATCCACCTGCAAAAGAGACCCGTCAGTCTGTTTGAGTGGTGAGAGTAGGACTTAGCTTTTATGGGCCGTCTTCTGTGAGAATAGCCCTTGGGTGTGCCATAACTGAGTGTGGGAGCGAAAATCTTGACTGTGTCCAGGAGTCATTTCATGGAAAAAGAGGTGCTGGAGCTCATTAGCATAACTCATTAGCATAACTCATTTGTATATGCCACGCCCCATTACATCACCGGAAGTGTGTCAGAAGGCAACACCCACCGCTCAGGCTCCACTGGACTGTTTTGGATTCCTAGCTATCAGGGGGGGGGGACGCGCAGATCTGCCCTCGCAGAGGAGGGAGAGCTTGTACCTGAATAAAACTTGGTCTTAAAGGTGCCACTGGACTGTTTTGGATTGCTATCAGGGGGGGGAACGCACAGATCTGTGGAGGAAGGAAGGAAGGAGGGAAAGAAAGAGAAGGAAACAGAGAGAGAAGGAGGGGAAGGGAAGGAAGGAAGGAAGGAAACAGGCTTCTTGCTCCTTGTGGCCTGGGGCTGCTGGTAGCAGGGGGTGGGGCTTGTTGCATGTGCCCGCCCCCTGAGCTCTTTACTGCCGGAGCTCTGCTCCTGTGCGCTCCTGCAGGAAATGACCCCTGACTGTGCCTAAGTGCAAATGCTGCTGCCTGCGTTAACTGAATGATTGCGCTTGGGAAGCCGGTGGGGCTGATGACTTCTGTAGTCAAGAAAGGCCAACCCTTGGGCAGGAGAAACTCTTGTGGGGCTGTGCCTTTAAGAAAGGGGGCAGAGGCCCCCAAAGCCCCACTGTAGCTATGGGCCCAGGAGGAATATGTTGGGCTGGGTGGGGCATGTATCCTGGAGTCAAGGTTTTGTAGGTCATAAAATGTGGAGGCATTGGGGGGGGGGGGGGCTCCTCCCCTCCCGGGCTCCAGAGTTCACTTCCGGAGAGGCGGTTGCGCGTAACGCGGTCTGTTCGTCTCCGTTCTCGGCCCTCGCCTCGGCCTCGCCTCGTCGTTCTGTCTAAGCAGGTGCGATTGCCCGTTTCTATGCCCACCCCTTCCTGTGATCCTTCCGCTGTAGGCCCCCTGGAGCTGGCCAACGCACTAGCCGCTTGCTGCCTCTCTTCAAGGTTGTCCTCACAGCACCGGCAGTGGGCCGCCCAGCAGCTCGTGCGGACCCTGGCCGCTCACGACCGGGACAACCAGGCCAGCCCCCAGACCCTGGCGGACATGGGTGGAGACCTGCGCAAGTGCTCCTTCGTCAAGCTGGAGGCTCACCAGAACAGGGTAAGGCGAGAATCCCCATTCCGGGAAAATCGTTCATAGAACATAAGAACGTAAGAGAAGCCAATGTTGGATCAGGCCAGTGGCCCCTCCAGTCCAACACTCTGTCACGCAGTGGCCAAAAACACCAATTGCCATCAGGAGGTCCACCAGTGGGGCATTTGACCACTCTGCGTTCACACGGCATTTTAGCCTCACATAGCCCCAGTTGTTGGAGGGGATGTGGGCAGCCTGGCTCTTAACATTCACCACTGGTGGACATGCCCTCTTATGGTGCAGTATTGGACCACTGTTCTTAAACTGGTATGTGATTTACCAGACACAGTATCCCCATGGGGCCAGAACTTGTGTTGCTTAACTTATGGGAGGGGATAGATGTTCCTGCTGTCAGGAAAGATCGAGGATGATCAGGGGTCTGGAAACTGAGCCCTACAAGGAAAGGCTGAGGGCCCTGGGAATGTTTAGTCTGGAGAAGAGGAGACTGAGGGGGGACAGGATGGCTCTCTTTAAATCTTTGAGGGCAAGGAGCTGTTCCATTAGGCAGCAGAGGAGAGGACCCCGAAGCAACGGGTTTAAGTTACATGCAGAAAGGTACAGTCAGAGTGGTTCAGAGGTGGAATCGGCTGCCTAGGGGGAGGTGGCGAGCTCCCCTTCACTGACCGCTTTCAAGAAGAGGCTGGACGAATATTTGTCAGGGATGCTTTAGGCTGGTTCTGTATTGGGCAGGGGGTCGGACCAGATGGCCTGTATGCTGTATGGTCCAACTCTATGGTTCTATGTCTTATATGTCAGCAGCAGCCGAGACTTTAGTGGCCAGGCACTGGAAAAATAGTATGCAACCCTAACCGAGTATGTGGTTCAATACGTTATGGGGATACCTGGCGATGGACAAAATATCTGTGATGTTATTTCCTCGGTGGAGAATCCGGACTTAAATTCAGATTATTTGAAACATTTGGTTCCCTTTTCTTGAATATATGGGAAGAGGAAGAGATTGGGTTTATACCCCGCCCTTCAGTACCTGAAGGAGTCTCAGAGCGGCTGACAAACTCCTTTCCCCTCCCCCTCCCCACAACAGACACCCTGGGAGGTAGGTGGGGCTGAGAGAGCTCTCTCAAGAA